TCTCAGCCCAGCAATAATAACAAAGTTCAACAAGACAAAAAATAAATGCTGGTGAGGATGTGGAAAGACTGGAACTCTCAGACACTGCTGGTTGGAGTGTAAAATGATACAACCACTGTGGAAATTGATAGGGTGATTTCTTTAAGAAGTTGGAAATAGAAATGCCATTTGATCTAGCAATCCTACTACTAGGTACATGCCCTAAAGAAGTGAGAGCCATGACAAGAACAGATATATGCACACCCTTGTTCAGTGCAGCACTATTCACAATAGCAAAGAGATGTGAACAACCTGAGTGTCTACCAATTGATGAATGGATAACCCAACTATGGTACACACACACAACGGGATACTATGCAACATTAAAGAATAATAAAGAATCCATGAAACACCTCATAATGTGGATGAACTTAGGGGAATTATGCTGAGTGAAATAAGTCAATCACAGGACAAATACTGTATGAGTTCATTACTGTATAAAGTCAAGGAAAGGTTTACATATGGAAAGAAACTTTCTTTGTTGGTTACCAGGAATGGGAGAGGAGGGTAGATAAAATTGCTAGATAGGTGAGAGATAAGTATTGATTTGGGTGAAGGAAAATGCAATATACCAAATAGAGTGATCAACACAATAACAGTAAAGGAAAGAAAGACACAGAGATGTATACAAGAGGTACAGACAACAAAGATAAACACTTTTACATACACAATACTGCATCAGCAGTAATAACAAACATTAATCTACGGGTTGATACACAGGTAGACAAGCTGAATGATCAGGTATGTCTAAGCAAAAGGGAATATACCCATGACCATATATAAGTTTGGCAGATGATATATGCATGTGCTATAAGGAGGTCCATATATATAATAGAGCTAACAGGGCAAAGTTATGATAACTTCTTAGCCACAGCCAAACACCCTGACAGAATGACTCACTGGGCCCATAGGCTCAGGAACATGGTCGCAGAGACATTAAGCTCAATGGATACATACACAAAAGCATTGTTCTACTACTTTAGTGAGTAGCAAGTGGAGTCTTAAAAGCTGGTAAACAGCCATCCACGATGCAACAATTGGTCTCTCCTTGTCTGGAGCAAAGAAGAATGAAAAAGACCAAAAACACGGAAACAATTAGTCCAAAGAACTAGGAGACCATGCAAACCTCAGCCTACATGGCCCTGAGACCAGAAGAACCAGATGGTGCCCAGTTACCACTGTCAACCACTTGGAAAGGGATCAAAATAGGAGATCCTGGGTAGACTGAGAGAAAAATGTGGAACAAAATTCAAAATCATAAAAAAGACCAGATTTACTGGTCTGACAGAGACTGGTGAAACCCCAGAGACTATGGCCCCTAGTACCCATACAGTCCTGGAATGAACTCACCCATGTGGCTTCCAGCCAAACAACAGACAGGTGTTTAAGGTGAACATCTATCTACACCTGGCAGGTACACTCCTTAGAACAATCAACCATGGAGGATTAGAAGGGCAGAACTTACACAGGTGATAGCTCAGAGGTCTGGAATGTATAGGAAAGAAGGACACAGAGAAAAGGCAACCACCCGGAGAAGTGGGAAAAGAGCTGCTGCATTGTGGGGATTAAAATCAATGTCATGAAACAAAATGTGTACAAATAGGTGCATGGAAAATAGTATTTTCTCTGTAAACTTTCACCCAAATCACAAAAAAAAAAAAACCCAACAAACTTATTACATACACAATCTTGCAATAACAGAACAATAATCTGTGAAGTAGATACACAGATAAGACAAATAAGCTGAATGATGTGGGAAGGAGAACGGGAGTATATCTACGAATATATATAGGTTTGACATAGGATATTTCAATATATGTATTTATATATGCTGCAAATATATCCATGAATATAGTAGAGCATACAGGGGTAAAAATATGAAACCTTCTAAGCCATAGCCAAAAACCCTGGGGATATGAGTCTCTGGGCCTGGGGGCTCTGGATTACAGTCTCAGGTGACATCAAGGTCAACTGGCACAACACAGTCCACAAAGACAACATTCCATCCTACTCTGGTGAGTAGTAACTGGAGTCTTAAAAGCTTGTTAGCAGCCACCTAAGGTGCAACTAATTGTTTTGCCCCATCCAGAGTAAAGATGACTGAAGAAAATAAAAGACATATGGGACCAATTAGCTCAAAGGTCTAATGGACCAGGTGAACCTCAGCCTGGATGACCCTGATACCAGAAGCACTAAATGGTGCCTAGCTACCACTACCAACTACTCTGAAAGGGATCATATTACAAGAGTCTTTATAGACTGCAACAAAACTCTGTATTATAATAAAGATCAGGCTTCCTGGTTGGACGGAGACTGGTGGAACCCCTTCAGACCTGGAATTGAACTCACTCCTGGAGCTGAATTTTCAGTCATATACTACTGGTTTGTGTTTACAAAGTAAACAATGACTCTAGGAAGGCAGGTACTCAGAAAAATCAACCATTTGAAATCAAAAGGGCAGCAACTGCCCAAGGACTAAGTTCAGAAAGCAAGGAAGGGATAGGAAGGAAGGCAGAATGGAAACAAGAAACACAAAGAGGATGTGGGAGGACTGATGTTACACTGAGGGACTGTTATCAGTGACATAAACAAATGTGTGTGAACTGTTGAATGGAAAAGTGATTTGCTCTGTAAACTTTCACCCAAATTATAAGAAAACATATAAAAAGTAAACAAACAAACAAGAAAATTGCTCAACTCTATTTATACTAAACATTCTATTTTAAAAAACAAAAACAAAAACTGCATTTTTCAACCATCAGATGGTGAAGATAATAACCAGTGTTGAGAAGTGTGTCAGCAGACAGGCAGTTTTATATACTACTATTGGATGTAAAAAAATCATACGACTTGTTCAGAGAGTAATTTTTAAACATTTATCAAAAATCAAAAGTTACAAATAATATCTATGGATAAAACAGTATTGAGCCTGAGATTGAATTTAAAACTGCCTGAGGGGAGGAAACTTCCCTGAAAACTTGATAAGGCATAAATTAATAGTTATTGCAGCTGGGTGGTAGGCATATGGGAGTTCATTATACTAGTTTCTCTACTTTTGTATGTGTGAATTTTTCCAGAAGGTTTTTACTAACGTGCATACCCTTTAATCCAGGAATTCAGCATATGGTTATATTATATAAGCACATAACAATGTAAGTATAAGGATATCCTCTGAAACAATAAAGTAAAAACCTGGAAACAATCTATATGCGCATTAGAGGACGGGGTGAATAAATTATGCTTTATCTAAACACTGTAATGTTACTTATCTTTAAAAAGTATGAGATAAATCTATATGAGGTAGATTACAGAAAGGTAGAAATATCAAGGACAGAACAGTAGGTACAGTTTGATCACACTTAAGTAAAAACAAATGTGGATTTGTGAATGCACATTAGATATGCGTCTATATTCATAACAATCCTTTAGAAGGATACTCAAAAACTTAAAAGTGGGCCAAGGAATAGGGGACTGGAAATCTGGGAGGAGGAAATATTTTTTATACATTTGTATACTGTAATGTTTTATTGTTTTTAAGCATGTGAATACACTACATTTCATTTATAATGAAAAAGAACTAGATTATTTTACATCCTTCCTCTATTTCCTAAGTAAAGGAAATGTTAACTTTGTTGAAGAGTGCGCCTCAAAGTATATTTATATTTTATAAAGCAGAAGAGCTGACACTTGATGCTTTCATTGATCTCCATTCTAGGCTCTTACAATACCTCTAATCTGAGCCTTTTTGATTGATCTTAAAATCTAACATTACAATGAACAATTGCTCTGAAAATACAAAAAAGTTTTTTTTTTTTTTAAATTGTGATCTGGGTGAACGTTTACAGAGAAATTAATTTTCCATTCCATTCAATAGTTCATACACATTTTGTTCCATGACACTGATTGCAATAATGTAACAACTCTCTTTCTACCTCCTCTCTGTGGTTACTTTTTCCTTATGTCCTTCTTTCCTATGCATTCCTGCCCTGAGCTATATCTCCCTGTGTAAATGCTGCCCTTCTGGTCTCCACCTGTTGACTGTTCTAAGGAGTGTAACTGCCAGGTGTAAATGTTCACCTATCTATTGTTTGGCCTATCCATTGTTTGCCTGGAAGCCAGAGGAGTGAATTTAATTCCAGGCCTGAAGGGTGACTAACGACCACAGTTCTCAGGGGTTTCACCAGTCTCTATCAGACCAGTAAGCCTGGTATTTATTATGATTTTGAGTTTTGTTCCACATTTTTCTTCCCACTCTACCCAGGATTCTCCTATTCTGATCCCTTTCCAAGTGGTTGACAGTGGTAGCCTGGCACCATCTAGTTCTTCTGGTCTCAAGGTCACACAGGCTGATGTTTGCATGGTTCACTAGACCACTGGACTGTTTCCATGCATGAAAGATCTTATTTTGATGTTAATCAAGCAATTAGTAATATTCATATGTGCCCAGTTCTGTGACGAATAATACAAAGGAATAAGATCACAGTCCCTGCTCAAGAAGTTTATAATCTAACAGAAGAAAAAATACTTATACAAGTAACAATCTAGTATCAGTTAATGCCATGCAAACACATTATGTGCTCAGAAAAGAAGTCAGTACGGGAATAGTGTTTGTGGACAAAATAAGATAGAATATTCTGTATTAAGAGATAAGTAGGATTTGATAAGATCTCTAAAAAAGAATGTACAGAAATATAAAAAAACTGAGATAATGAGAAATCAGTATAATTGGAGATGCATGTAGGAAGAAGTGTGAAACAGGTAATAAGTTAGAATTAAGTTCAAGGTACTATACTTAAAAACTAGGCAGAAATGAAAATTTCATAAAATTGGTAAAGAAGCATTTTAAGAAAAATTTGGCAGCAATATTGTGCAAGGTAGGCTAAACTATTTCCATGTCTTTGCTTCATACTTGGCTGGCTTTCATGACATGAAAAATAAAATAACAAACATTATTTCAATACCTCATTTCCAGATTCTAATGGTCTCTTCTTCCTTGGTCCAATAGCTGCAAGAGCTGTGAGATTGGCATCTCTTTGCTGTATTTGTGCGAGCTCCAACTGCTGTAACTGGAAGACAGGGGAAAAAATCAAGGTTTACACACAGTCATCCTCAGAGGGAGAAAGCAATGCTTCACTAAGCCTATCGCTGTATTCTTCACCAAATAAGGTGCAAAATTAATGTACTACATTCTTATAACAGCTAGCAGCACATTCCCTGATACATTTACTCCAACAGCTTCTTTCATCCTGAATCTCTTAATGGTGCAGGCAGAACTTAGGGAAGGGGGATGTATAATACTGAAAAAAAATAAAGGTTAATCTCTTCCCAGGCTGAGCACAGGGAAGAAATGCCTGAAGAGTAAACTGAACAACAGGTTGGAGAGAGGGAGATTGTAGTTAACCTTTCCAGATTGAAAGAATATATATTTTTTACACTATAGTAAGCAAATCTACTATAGATTTACAAAGCACAAAATTAACTTTTACTTCTCCTAACAACATTGAAAGATATATATTCATGATATAATAACATATGAAAATCATCTATATACTTTATCCCCCCCCCCTTTTTTTTTTGCTAATGGAGACAGTGAGGCTCCAAGCAGCTAGAAAACTTCAATTTTTTCAATGTAACACAATCATTCAATTGCAAACAAAAGATCATACTCCACATTTGTCTTCATGATATAATTATAAAGTGATTTAGCATTATTTTGTTGTACAGTTTTCACCATACTTAACCCAGAATACCCAAATCTACAATGTATAATCTTTAGTTAATACCGATAGTCAAAACTATCCAGGAGTAGTCATAAAAGATGTCCTATTAAAAGACAGTGAAATTGAAAAATAAATAAATGACAACAGCATCATTTCAAGACATGTAAATGTCAAGTGGTAGTCTTAAAAAACAAAAACAAAAAAAGGTGAGAAAGTCAATTTTATTTCCATCAAAATTTTATTACTATGGAGGTAAAAGAGGAGAGAACATGGGGTTGATGCCAGTCAAACATTCAAACAAGATCAGACTGAAGCAATGGGTTGGGTTATACTGAGACTATATTAGAATGTTCCTGTAAAAAGTTGTTGTTGTTATTTGCCGTCGAGTCAGCCCTGACTCATAGCAACCCCTCCTTGGGTTTCCGAGGCAGTATCACTACAGAAGTAGGATTGCCCAACCTTCCTTCCGAGGTTGGGCAATCCTACTTCCGTAGTGATACTGCCTCGGAAACCTGTAAAAAGAGCACTAACCAAATTTTTAACACAAGCAGAATGAAAACAACTAACAGTTCATGGTGAAATACTCTCAAGGAGATATAAAGAAAAATAACCCGATTTTAATAACACTTCAGGTTTTTGGGGTTTTTTTTTTTTTTTGAAATATTAAAGATAAAGAATAGGCCAAAGGTAACAGAATCCTTAGGAAAGCAGAAAGCAGCTAACTAAATAAACTGGGCTAAGAATCATTTTCCATCTGCTCTACAAATTCTTTTAAACCATGTTTACTTATAAATAAATTGCTATAAAAGTTTTTCAGAAGCTACTATATTTTTGTTGTTGGTCTTTCTAACAACAAACACATAGTTTTAGAGTCTGATGCTGTCAAAATCCAGATTGTAGGTGATAAAATTATTTTAATCTACCCTGCAGCATCAATTAACCAGCAAGCTGTCTTTAAGTTCTTATAAAGTAATGGCATCACTAACATAGTCACACCAAATGAAAGGTTTTTAAACTGGCCTGTCTACATAATTCTCCTACCTATGTACTAAATGTTTTCTCCCACTTGATAAAATTAAACTTTGTTTTTCTGAAGACTCATATACAATGTTTTAGAAATTCTCGCAAAGCTCTGTAAAAATGGAAACTCACCATAGTTTTGACTGGCCCTGAATTTACAACAAAGTTTCTCAAAAACAACGTATCCTGCCCAGCACAACAGAAAAAAACAATCACTTTTAACTGGAATAGTAGGAATTTCTGAGCATTAATGCAGATTTGGCATACATAGTAGATGAATATAATAAGCAAGCTCAAGTTCAGTAAAAGCAGTCAGCCATTAAGTTAGAAGCTTGCCTGTGGATGTATAATTTCATTTGCTGTCTCATTTTGGCATGTTAGTATTTTTCCCATCAACTCCTTTGAATTCCTGAAGTCAAAATAGCAGAGCTTTCTCAAGGTTCAAATCAGTATTTCATGTTTAATTCCGTATTTTTACAATTATTATACAGTAAAGTTGACTGTTTTCAGAATGTACACAGGTCTATGAATTTTCACTAGTCAGGATACAGAACAGTTTCATTATTCCCAAGAAACTCTTTCATGCTATTCATTTATAGTCAAATCATCTACCTACCCCTAAAAGACTGAAACCAATGCATTTTCTCCATACTGTAGTTTATGTGTTTTAGAAAAAACCAAAACCAAGCCCAAGGTTGCAGAGTTGATTCCCACTCATAACACTCCTACAGGACATTGTAGAACTGCCCCATCCGGTTTCCAAGTCTGTAATCCTGATGGAAGCAGACTGCCACATCTTTCTTCCATAGAAAGACTGATGAGTGCAAACGCTGATCATCTGAACAACAGTCGAGCACTTAACCACTGTGCCACCAGGGCGCCTTGATGTCTACTGGAGAATGGCATTTAAATGGAATCATACAGTGTATACTCTTTTGAGACTGGCTTCTTTCAGTCAGCATAATAAATATGAGATTCAACCAAGTTTTATCAATAGTTCATTCCTTGTTATTACTATATAGTAGTATTTCATCATATGGATGTACTACAGTTTGTTCATCTGTTAAAGGACTTTGGAGTTGTTTAAATTCAGGCAATTATAAATAGAACTGCTTAATGAAACATCTGTATGCAGGTTTTGTGGGAAAATTTTCATTTCTTTAGAGTAAATACCCAGGAGTAGGAATGCTGGGTCATATGGTGTTTAGAGTTAACTGCCTAACTTTGCCAAGGTGGCTGTAACATTTTTCAGTCTCATCAGCAATCTATGAGGGTTTCTGCTACTGTACATGTTCAGAAGCATGATTTTTCATTGTATTTTGTTTGAGACATTTCTATTAGGTATGTAGTAGAGTCTCATTTTGGAGGTAATTTCCATTTCCAGGTTGAATATCTTTTTTTTTTTCCTAAATAACAAGTTGAGTATCTCTTCATGTGCTTATTTACCATAAATGTATCCCCATTGGGGGAAGTGTCTGTTTAAATCAGTTGTTCATTTTTAATTGGGCTGTTTTCTTCCTGTTGAATTTGAAAGTTCTTTATATATCCTGCATACAAACACATTATCATATATGTAATTTGCACATTTTATCTATTAGCCTATAGCTTGTTCTTTCATTCTCTTAATCACAGAGCAAAAGTTTTAAATTTTGATGAAGTCCAATTATTCATCATTTTCTTTTATGGATCAGACTTTGGGTGTCCTAAAGCCCAAGTCACAAGACATGATCTATCTAGTGTTCTCTATGTGCTCTTGAACAAAATATACATCAGACCATTGTTGGGTGGAGTGTTTCCTAAATGACAATTAGAACCAACTGAGTGATGTTTATTTAGTCCCATAATCTTCCTGATTTTCTGTCTACCAGTCCTATTTATTACTGAGAAAGGAGTGCTGAAATCTCCAACTCTAATTGTGGATTTGTCTTTCCCCTTTCAGTTCAGTCAGTTTTTGCTTCTGTTGTTAGGTGAATACATATTTAGGATTATTAGATCTTAGTGAATTAACCCTCATCACGCAATGTTACTCTTTATCTCTGCTAATTTTCTTTGCTTTGAAATCTATTTTGCCTGATATTAGTATGTTGTTGTTGTTATTTGCCATCGAGTCGGCCCCAACTCACAGCGACCCCTCCTTGGGTTTCCAAGGCAGTATCACTATGGAAGTAGATTGCCCAACCTTCCTTCTGAGGAGTGGCTGGTGGGTTTGAACCACCAGCCTTTTGGTTAGCAGTCAAGTGCCTTAGGCACTATGCTACCAGAGCTCCTTGATATTAATATAGCCACTCTAAATTTCTCTGTTGAGTGTTTTCAAGGCACATATTTTCCCATCCTTTCACTTTAACTTAGCTACCTAATTACATTTGAATTGAGTTTCCTGTAGACAAAGTTCAGTCATTGCTTTTTAATCCATTCTGATAATCTCTCATTTAATTTGTATATTTAGACTGTTACTTAATGCAATAATTGATGTTTGAATTTAGTAATAGTATCATTATTTGTTTTCTATTTGTTCCCTGTTTTTCATTTCTGTTTTCCTTTCCCAATTTCTTTTGGATTATTTGAACACTTTTAATATTCCATTTTAAGTTACTTTTTTTAAAAAAAAATTTATTTTAGGGGAATCAAAATTATAGTAAACATTTAAGTCTTTTAGTCTTAGAATCAGTATTTCCCTTTTTTTTTTTTTTTTTTTTGGTGAAAAGCTCACAAAACAAATTGGTTTCCACTCAGGAATCATTCACATTTTGTCTTGTGATACCGACTGCAATCCCCACAATGTTATAGCACTCTTCCTACTTCCTCCCTGTTTTTACCTTTCCATTTCTCCTTTCCTATCCCTTCCTGCCATCTTAGCTTTATCCCTGAGCAAATGCTGCCCTTTGATCCCATATGGTCGACTGTTCTAATGAGTGTGTACCTCCCTGGTGTTATTATTCACCTTATTAGTCTGTCATTTGGCTAAAATTCAGTCATTTGAATCATTGTTCCCCTACTGGAAACATGGAGCCCAATGGCGCAGTGGTTATGCACTTGGCTGCCAACGGAAAGGTCAATGGTTTCAACCTACCAGCCACTCTGCAGGTGAAAGATGTGGCAGTCTGATTGGAAGGAAGATTGGGCAATCTACTTTTGTAGAGATACCACCTCGGAAACACAAGGAGGGGTCGCTATGAGTTGAATCAACTCAACGGCATGAGTTTGTTTTTTCTCTTGGTGCTTCCATAAAGATTTACAGTCTTGGAAACCCTATGGGGCATTTCTACTCTGTTCTACAGGTTGCTATGAGTCAAAATCAACTCTATGGTAATGGGCTTGGTTTTTGG